CAATATCATTTTAAATGATTGTATAGTTTCCCACTTAACTGATGTGCTATAGTTGACTCTTTTTTTAAAATTATTATTAATTTGTAGTTAAAATAAAACTGCAATGAAGATCCTCACTTAACCAAAAGATATAGGTATATTCCGACTGTGACTGATTCTGATGTGTCTGTAGTTTTCACACCAGTTGGGTGTACAGTTCAACTTAGTTCTGACACTACCTGCCTGGAGAAAGCATCAGATCCCACAGTTTATAGGTTCAGTGTCACGAGACTGCCTCCCCTCCACACACACTTCAGATATCAGTTGAAAGTCCATGTAGTTCCTTGTGCTTCTGACCAATTGGCTATAGATCAGAGGTTCCCATGATCCCGTCCTTGGGTTTGATTATTTGCTAGAGCAACTCACAGGACTGAGAAATATTTGCTTCCATTTACCTTATATAGGTAATTATAAGATAGCATATTATAAAGGATATTATGAAGGATATATATGAGCATATGTACATCTAGTCAAAGCTATGGTTTTTCTAGTAGTCATGTACAGATGTGAGAGTTGGACCATAAAGAAGGCTGAGACCAAAGAATTGATGCTTTCGAACTGTGGTGCTGGAGAAGACCTTTGAGAGTCCCTTGGACAGCAAGGAGATCAAACCAGTCAATCCTAAAGGAAATCAGCCCTGAATATCCATTGAAAGGACTGACTGATGCTGAAGCTGAAGCTCCAATATTTTGACCAACTGATGCAAAGACCCAACTCATTGGAAAAGACCTTGATGCTGGGAAAGATGGAGGGCAAGAGGAGAAGGAGGGTGACAGAGGATGAGATGGTTGGATGGCATCACCGACTCAACGAACATAAATTCGAGCAAACTCTGGGAGATAGTGAAGGACAGGGAAACCTGGCATTCTACAGTCCATTTATTTAGTCACAAAGTCGGACACAACTTAGCGACTGAACAACAACAACAAATGAACAGCCAGATGGAGGAGATTCGTAGGACAAGGTATGAGGGAAGGACAAGATATGAGGGAAGCGCTGTGGAACTCACATACCTTCTCAAAGCACATCATTCTCCTAGCACTTGATGTGTTACCAGTCCAGAAACTCTCTTAACTCTACCCTTTTGGATTTTTATGAGGCCCCATTACACAGCCATGATTAATTAAATCACTGGCCAAGGGTGATGGAACTTAATCTCTAGCTCCTTTCCCCTCCCAGGAGGTGGAGGGTTAAAGTCATGGTTGTAAGGGCCAGACTGAAAACTCAGACACAGAATCAGAAGGTTGATTCCCTCGGCAACTAGCCCCATCCTTAGGTTATCTTGTGGTATTTTGAAAGTTACCTCATTAACATAACAAAGACACCCTTATTGTTCTCAATCACTTAGGACATTCCAAGGGTTTTAGGAATCTGCACCAGGAACAGAATGAAGGCCAAATATACAATTCTTACTATAAATCACAATATCACATATATCTTTTGGTTACTTCCAGGAAATTATATTATTATGTCAAATTGTATAAACTTCATGGTTTGCAAGAGTTGCCAAATCGGAAAGCATGGCTTCCAAACTTTCAAATACAAACCAGGTCTCGGCTTTTTTTTTTTCTTCTCAGCTTAATCAGTGTTTTGAATTCTCACTAAACTTAGTTAACCAGAAAAGGAAAGTAGGGCATTCCAGGGCTGAAAGGGAATTCCAGGCCACCAGGTCAAGCCCTGAGACATCCCTTTGTCTCCTGATCAGACAGAGGAAAAATGTTTCCCAAAGAACACAACTATTTTTCAGACAATTCTAGGCTTAGCTAAATCCTGCAATCATATTGGCTTTATTTTTCCATCCAATGTTTATATATTTAAAATGAAGGGATTAGGGGGAATTCCCTGGGGTCCAGTAGTTAGGCCTCCAAGCTTCTACTGCAGGGGGCCTTGGTTCTATCCCTGGCGAGGGAACTAAGATCCTGCATGCCTTGAGGCACAGCCAAAAACAAAAACAAAAGGGTTAGATCAATAAGGGAATGGTTGGGCAGCTGGTCACTTGGTGAGGGTGGTGGCAAAGGGATGGCTTTAGCTTTGGCCTGTGTCTATAGTCGGCCCATACGGGTGATAGTTGATCTCCAACTGCAAGGAGATCGAACCAGTCCATCCTAAAGGAAATCAGTCCTGAATATCCACTGGAAAGACTGATGCTAAAGTTGAAACTCCAATACTTTGGCCACCTGATGTGAAGAACTGACTCATTGGAAAAGACCCTGATGCTGGGAAAGATTGAAGGCAGGAGGAAAAGGGGATGACAGAGGATGAGACGGTTGGATGGCATCACCGACTCCATGGACGTGAGTTTGAGAAAGCTCCGGGAGTTGGTGATGGACAGGGAAGCCTGGCAAGCTACAGTCCATGGGGTCACGAAGAGTCTGTATGACTGAGTGACTGAACTGAACCGAACTGAGCATCCAGCTGCTTGCCTAGGACAGAGCTCGAGTGCATGGTACCGCAGGAACTGACTTCAGGGTCCTGATGACAGGCTGCCCCTGTAACTGTCAACATGGGGCGAGGCTCCCCTCCGGTTTGAGAATGGCTACCCTTCGAGATGAGCCAGTCGCTGAGATTAGTGTTGGTGCCTATGGGACGGTGCACAAGGCCCATAATCCCCACAGTGGCCACTCTGCGGCCCTCAAGAGCATGAGTGCCCTGGAGGGCGCCTGCTGGACCTGTGTGTCACAGCCTGGACTGATCGGGAGATGAGAGTGATCCTGGTGTGCAGTCGCTGAGGTTAGTGTTGCTGCCTATGGGACGGTGCACAAGGCCCATAATCCCCACAGTGGCCACTCTGCGGCCCTCAAGAGCATCTGAGTGCCCTGGAGGCGGCCTGCTGGACCTGTGTGTCACAGCCTGGACTGATCGGGAGATGAGAGTGATCCTGCTGTGCAGTCACTGAGGTTAGTGCTGGTGCCTATGGGACGGTGCACAAGGCCCATAATCCCCACAGTGGCCACTCTGCGGCCCTCAAGAGCATGAGTGCCCTGGAGGGCGCCTGCTGGACCTGTGTGTCACAGCCTGGACTGATCGGGAGATGAGAGTGATCCTGGTGTGCAGTCGCTGAGATTAGTGTTGGTGCCTATGGGACGGTGCACAAGGCCCATAATCCCCACAGTGGCCACTCTGCGGCCCTCAAGAGCATCTGAGTGCCCTGGAGGCGGCCTGCTAGACCTGTGTGTCACAGCCTGGACTGATCGGGAGATGAGAGTGATCCTGGTGTGCAGTCGCTGAGGTTAGTGTTGCTGCCTATGGGACGGTGCACAAGGCCCATAATCCCCACAGTGGCCACTCTGCGGCCCTCAAGAGCATGAGTGCCCTGGAGGCGGCCTGCTGGACCTGTGTGTCACAGCCTGGACTGATCGGGAGATGAGAGTGATCCTGGTGTGCAGTCGCTGAGGTTAGTGTTGGTGCCTATGGGACGGTGCACAAGGCCCATAATCCCCACAGTGGCCACTCTGCGGCCCTCAAGAGCATGAGTGCCCTGGAGGCGGCCTGCTGGACCTGTGTGTCACAGCCTGGACTGATCGGGAGATGAGAGTGATCCTGGTGTGCAGTCGCTGAGGTTAGTGTTGGTGCCTATGGGACGGTGCACAAGGCCCATAATCCCCACAGTGGCCACTCTGCGGCCCTCAAGAGCATGAGTGCCCTGGAGGGCGCCTGCTGGACCTGTGTGTCACAGCCTGGACTGATCGGGAGATGAGAGTGATCCTGGTGTGCAGTCGCTGAGGTTAGTGTTGCTGCCTATGGGACGGTGCACAAGGCCCATAATCCCCACAGTGGCCACTCTGCGGCCCTCAAGAGCATGAGTGCCCTGGAGGGCGCCTGCTGGACCTGTGTGTCACAGCCTGGACTGATCGGGAGATGAGAGTGATCCTGGTGCGTAAGTATGTGGACCAGGACCTCTGCACCTACCAGGACAAGGCACCCCCACCAGGCTTGGAGTGGGGGCGGAGATCATCAGCGGTCTGAGGCACCAGTTTCTAAGCAGCCTAGATTTCCCTCATGCTCACTCCTTCGTTCACCGAGACCTAAGGCCAGAGAACATTTAGGTGACAAGTGGTGGAACAGTCAAGCTGGCGGACTTTGGCCTGGCCAGAATCTGCAGCTTCCAGCTGGCACTTACATCTGCGGCTGTTACACTCTGGTACCCGGAACTCCAGAAGTTCTTTTTACTGCCGACATATGCCAGACCTGGGGACGTGGGGAGCAATGGCGATATCTCCACAAAGATGTCTCCTCAAAAGCCTCTCATCTGTGGAGCCTCTGAAGCTGACCAGTTAGGCAACTCTTTGACCTGACTGGACTGGCCCCCAGAGGACGACAGGCCCTTAGAAGCGTCTCTGCCCGTGGAGCCCTTTCCCCCAGAGGGCCTGGAGCCTCCCTAATCGGTGGTACCTGAGGCTGAGGAGTCTGGAGCACAGCTACTCCAGAGATGCTAGAGATACTGACTTTTAGCCCACACCAGCGAATCTCTGCCGTCTGAGCCCAGAGGCACTCTTATCTACACGGTGACCCAGGGTGAGCAATAGGAATGATTGCATCAGAACCAAGAGAGGAGATGCTGACATTTCCCTTCCTTTGAACCCTGGAGTGTGACCTCTGCCTCGGTCTCTGAGGCTTCAAAGACTGGAGACATTCTCCAGTTTTTTATAGAGACTATTTTGCTGCCTTAATGACATTCCCCTCCAACCCCTCCTTTTTTTTTTTTTTTTTAAACATTTAATCTAATTTTATTCATGCTTGCCTTGGGATAGAGAATAGATCTTTCAGTAAAAACATATAGTAAAAACAAAATATGTCTTATCATGTACAACTTTTAAACTACAGTAATGATGTATCTTAATTACTTCCAGGCATACAGTCTAACATTACAGTTTTTTGTTTTTGTTTTTTAATAAATGCAATTAAGACTTCTAGGAACATTTTGTGATAAAGTACTAATAATTCTTAATTTTTCTTTGCAGATAGATCAAGCACCTCCAAAATGCAAATTCCTATACACAGTGAAACTTAAAAACTCAACATTCAGAAAACTAAGATCATGGCACCCGGTCCCATCACTTCATGGCAAATAGATGGGGAAACAATGGAAACAGTGATAGACTTTATTTTTGGGGGGCTCCAAAATCACTGCAGATGGTGACTGCAGCCATGAAATTCAAAGATGCTTGCTCCTTGGAAGAAAAGCTATGACCAACCTAGACAGCATATTAAAAAGCAGAGACATTACTTTGCGAACAAAGGTCTGTCCAGTCAAAGCTATGGTTTTTCCAGTAGTCATGTATGGATGTGAGAGTTGGACTGTAAAGAAAGCTGAGCGCTGAAGAATTGATGCTTTTGAACTGTGGTGTTGGAGAAGATTCTTGAGAGTCCCTTGGACTGCAGGGAGATCCAACCAGTCCATCCTAAAGGAAATCAGTCCTGAATATTCATTGGAAGGACTGATGCTGAAGCTGAAACTCCAATACTTTGGCCACTTGATGCAAGAACTGACTAGAAAAGACACTGATGCTGGGAAAGAATGAAGGCAGGAGGAGAAGGGGACAACAGAGGATGAGATGGTTGGATGGCATCACTGACTCAATGGACATTGAATCTGAGTATGGACATTGAATCTGAGTAAACTGTGGGAGCTGATGATGGACAGGGAGGCCTGGTGTGCGGCAGTCCATGGGGTCGCAAAGAGTCAGACATGACTGAGCGACTGAACTGAACTGATACACAGTGAGCACTTTACTTAAGACTAATACTTAGGTAAATTAAGTACATGGACAGCCTTAGGATAAGTTGATATTATATATTCAGCTAAACAGGCAACAAACCATAGAGCCAAATTGAAAAAAAAATGTATTTGCAAATAAGATTCAAAAACTAACTTTTTATAATTAAGTACAGAACATATACTAACTTGCTAAAATAAATAAGATGTGATGTAGTAACACTTTACTATAAAGAATGCATACCAGAACATTTTTAAATGGTGAGTGAAACTTATTAAGAATAGTTTACTACAATAAATGCTGGCTAAATAGAACCACCTCTCCTTTTGAGGCTTATCCTTCTCCTGCCCTTCTGTGTCCTTACACCAAGGGATATGTCTCTTGTTCTCCCCTTCGCTATACCTTGATATTAGGATCTGGTCTGGGCAGATCCCACATACCACAGAGCAACTAAGCCCGAGTGCCTCACCTACTGATGCCCGAGTGCCCTAGAGCCTGTGCTCTGCAACAAGAGAAGCCAGTGCAATGAGAAGCTTGCACATCACAACTGGAGAGTAGCCCCTGCTTGCCGTAACCAGAGAAAGGCTCATGCAGCAAAGAAGACTCAACACAACCAATAAATAAATATAAAATTATTTTTTAAAGAAGGAAAAAACTCTTTATGCACTCGGAGAAGGCAATGGCAACCCACTTCAGTCCTCTTGCCTGGAAAATCCCATGGACAGAGGAGCCTGGTGGGCTGCAGTCCATGGGGTCGCTATGAGTCAGATACGATTGAGCGACTTCACTTTCACTTTCCCTTTCATGCATTGGAGAAGGAAATGGCAACCCACTCCAGTATTCTTGCCTGCAGAATCCCAGGAACGGGGGAGCCTGGTGGGCTGCTGTCTATGGGGTCGCACACAGTCCAACACAACTGAAGCGACTTAGCAGCAGCAGCAGCTTTATACACTAATACAGAATGATATTTCAGATACATCATTAAGCAAAAAAAGCAAGATGTAAAAACATGTGTACCATATGCACATTTGTGTAAAAGGGAGGAAAAGAAATACATAGACATTCTAACATAGGAGTTTTGCTTGTGTATTCATAAAGCATCTTGGGAAAGTTACACAAGAAACTGATAGTATAATATGCTAATTTTTAGGGAAATTAGGTAGCTGAGAGAAAAACATTTCCAGTGCCAATTCATTGTGCTGAACACATGAATGTGTCACCTATTCTAAAATAAAAATCATAAAACATAAATTAAGGGGACTAGGTCATTTGATTACATCACCAAATACTTTCATTTCTGTTTTTTTCTCCAAACCCCACACTTTAAAGGATCTGTAAAGGAGCGGACCCCTACAGTCTATAGGGTCTCAAAGATGTGGACATGACTTAGCGACTGAATAACAAAAACAAAAAGGAATAAAAGAGAACCATATGTACAGAGAATAGGAGAGGGAACAAAAAGTAGGTCATATGAACATGATTTGAGGAGAGAATGAGGCAACAGCACAGATTTCAGGTCACACTTCCAGTCCCAACTCTTTAACTTGTTTCTCCTGAGCTCTTGGGCAAATAAATCCCTTACGACTTTGAACTTCTGATCCCTTACCTGTGGAAGAGTAAGAATGAGTCCTTGATGTTGTGTTCTATATTGTGCCTTGTGGGAATACTCGAAGCATTCATTGTCAACGATCAGAAGGATTTAATGAAGTGCATAGACTGCTATCATTACTTTAAACAATAGTAGCACTTTAAGCTATTATTAATTCAATTTTTGTCAGTCTGATAGGAAAAATAGCAGTATCTTATTTAAATTTGAACTTCTCTAATTATCAATGGGGCTTCCCTTGTGGCTCAGCCAGTAAGAATCTGCCTGCAATGCGGGAGACCTGGGTTCAATCCCTAGGTTGGGAAGATCCCCTGCAGAAGTAAAAGGTTATCCACTCCAGTATTCTGGCCTGGAGAATTCCATGAACTATAAATGAGGAGAGTTTCAAGCCAGAGAAAGCTGGCTTGAAACTCAACATTCAAAAAATTAAGATCATGGCATCTGGTCCCATCATTTCATGGCAAATAGATGGGGAAACAGTGATAGACTTTTTTTCGTGGGCTCCAAAATCACTGCAGATGGTGACTGCAGCCATGAAATTCAAAGATGCTTGCTCCTTGGAAGAAAAGTTATGACCAATCTAGACAGCATATTAAAAAGCAGAATCATTACTTTACTAACATAGTTAAAGCTATGGTTTTTCCAGTAGTCATGTGTGAATGTGAGAGTTGGACTGTAAACAAAGCTGAGTGCTGAGGAATTGATGCCATTGAACTGTGGTGTTGGACAAGACTCTTGAGAGTCCCTTGGACTGCAAGGAGATACAACTAGTCCATCCTAAAGGAAATCAGTCCTGAATATTCACTGGAAGGACTGATGCTGAAGCTGAAACTCCAATACTTTGGCCACCTGATCCAAATATCCGACTCATTAAAAAAGACCCTGATGCTGGGAAAGGTTGAAGGCAGGAGGAGAAGGGTTCGACAGAGGACAAGATGGTTGAGTGGCATCACCAACTCAACAGACATGAGTTTGAACAAACTCCAGGAGATGGTGGAGGACAAGGAAGCCTGGCATGCTGCAGTCCGTGGGGTCGCAAAGAGTCGGACACGACTTGGCAACTGAACAACAACAATTATAAATGAGGCTGAATAATTACGTGTCTATTCCATTTGTATTTCTTTTTCGGTGATTTGCCTGATCATTCAAAATAGTTAACATTTACTGCATGTTACAGTGTACCAGGCACTGTGTTATGATCTCTATCCAAATTATCTCATTTAACCTGCAGATCAAATGGGTAAAATTATTATGCTCATTTTCAGCTGAGGAAACCAATATTTAAGAAGTCAATTGTTAAAGTCTCCATCACCAGTTAAGTAGAGTCCGGATTCTGATTGAGGACTTGACTCTGACCCAGAAATCTGACTTGATTGAGAACACAGGCTCTTCAGGCTTTGGTTTCAAAGACTCTCCCCCTGATCATTTTCCTTTTGCATTATTTGCCTTTTCTTAATATTTTGCAAGAGCCGTTTGTAATTTGGCGGTAGGGCTCAGAGTAGGGGAGGATCTATCTGGGCCAAAGGGCAGAAGTGACTTCAAAGAAGCAGCCTGCCTGGCCTTCAACTACCCCTAAGGTGGTGTGTCAGCCTAGGTGGTGCAGTCAGACATGATGGCAGCAGACCAAGCTGGTACAGAACACAGGTCTGCAAAGACGTCAACAGTGGACAGTGGACTTCAACTCCTTTAGAGAGAAAGCAAGAGTGACCCACAGGAGGAGGATGAAAGCAGAGCTTTCAGGCTGTCCAAAGTCATCAGAGGGAAAGAAGAAAACATGAGGCGGAAAGCTGGCCAAGAGCTTCCTGAAGACCATGCAAATGAGGCCCGCCCACAACTGCCTGGAAACCGCTCGCCAGGAGCAGGCAGAGCCCAGAGGACACGCTGCAGGACCGCTCAGCCAAGGACGAGGAGGAGGTGGAGGCGGCCCTGAGGAGCAGGTAAGGAGTCAGGAGGGCCGTGGAGGGCAGGGTCACAGGGCCCTGCGTTCTGGAGAGGCAGCTCGTCCCTGGGGTGAACACCGGCCTGGGAGGCAGGGCTCCTGGGATCATCTTTCAAGTTCAACCATTCTTTAGCTGTGAAGCCTTGGGCAAGTCAATTCGCCTTTCTGAGTCTTGACATTCCCATTGATAAAATGAGCGTAAAAATGTCATGTTAACTACGCGTTGAGCATCTGCTATGCTTTGCTGGGCACATAATAGCCATTATCCGTTCCTCATGGCAAGCTCATGAGGTGGGCTCATTAGCCTCTATCATAGAGGCAAACAAAGCTCAGAGACATTAAGCCACTTGTCTAAGACCTCACAGCAAAGAAGTCCGGTTCTAAAACTACATACTTTCAACTCTTGATCCTGCTTTCTTCTGAGGGTGGTTTTACAGAATCAAATGGTCTATGCAAATGGAAAAAAAAAACTGTAAAAGCAATTATACCATCAAGATGGGAGTCACTCCACTCAGACCCTGGCCAGAACTGATGCCCTTGTAAACTGGGAAGTTCTATGAAAATGCTAGTTCTTCACCTCTTTCCTCTCTCCAAGTTGAAAGCACTGGGGTGATGCTACAGACAACTATTTGGCTGAGTGAGCGGATCACAGATGGAGGTGATGTCTTGAGTGGTATTGGGATATACCAGCTTGAGAGTGACTTCAAGTTGGATAAGTGGCCAGTCTCGTCTGTTTCCTGGAGACAGAC